CCCCCCCCCCCCCCCCCCGAATATAAGCCCACCACATATACTACTAATGCTTACCTCATTCCAAATATAAGCCCTCCTGAATATAAGACCCCCAAATATAAGTCCCCCGAATATAAGCCCAGTAGGCCACTACATTATTCAACATTGACAGTCTTTTAATATAGCAGAGAACGATATTTAAAAACATTGTCAGTCTTTATAGCCGACTATGTTAATCAAATCAATAATTAGTCTATTATTAATACATGTTTATTTTCCTGTTTATGACTGACTTGTTTATGTCTGACTTGTTTATTACTAACACAAAAGATCGTCCATGTATTACCCCCCCCCCCTGTACAATAAGCCCCCTTGTACAATAAGCCCGCCTTGTATAATAAGCCTGCCTTGTATAATAAGCCCCCCTTGTATAATAAGGCCATCAAAAATCGCTAACGAAAGTATATAAGCCCAGGGCTTATAGTTTATAATCAAGTTTGGGAACAGGAACTTTGCATGTAAAAATGAAAGCAGAAAATACATCAAAGTAACCCACTTATAAAACACAACATTTATGTAAATATACTTTCGAGAAACTAGGTGGTAAAGGCCAAGATTATTATTTACCATATATAAAAAACATCAGTTCAACATTAAACATAACAAGACCAAGATTTAACACTGATATTTAAAAAGATTTTATAATTATTGCCATTGAACAGAACGGTGTATTTGTCAGCAGTCATATTGTTTGTACTGTTGTATATACACGATTTTATCACAAAATTGTGTAAAAATAACTCCAAGAAAGAACATAATATAAACGTAAATAATCCGAGAAAGTTATATCTAACGACATTTTTTTAGATATCCGACACATTCTTTTGCATGAACAGTTCCATGTTAGCACTTCATGTGCGTATCTTGCGTCCACATTCAGCTCACTCTTTCGAACGATTTCAGTCACTTTAAATACAGTTCTTAAGCTCATGAATACAAAAATACACTCCTCTTACCTTCGCCTTTACTATCCACAGAAAATACGATAAAAGACAAGATCACGAAAATTTTCAATTTTATTACTGAAAATACACTTCTCGCCAATACATTTCCTTAATATACTTGCTGCAATCTACTTGGCAGCAACATGGCGGCCGTCAATTTCCGGTGCGAGGCGGCAGCGTCAAAAACATCAAAGGAGTGGCCTTTCTGTTCAATTATTTATTCTGTGACCAAGTCTTCGTTCACCCATTATTTAAATGTAGAATATTTATCATTCGCCGCACGAGGACTAGCTGGATCAACCATCAGACTTGCTTGTGCAGGGAATTTATACAGCAATATCTGCTCTTTCGCTTGTGGGGCGTGAAATGATATACTGCGCATGCTTAACCACTTTTTAAAGCGTATTAATGCGCATGTTACATGTTATTTCGTCCTACAACCGTAACCTCTCATTCAAGTGATAGCTTCAATATTTAATGAAGAAAACCTCCAAAATAAAAAAAGAATATGGTCTGATGAGTATATAAACAAGTTAAAAGCCGCGGGTATCGGTTTTTATTAAACTGTAAAGACCTCGGGCCTTCGGCCCTCGGTCTTCACAGTTTAATAAAAACCTCTCCCTTGGCTTTTAACCTTTATTTAAAACTGTTATATATTTAAGTTTTCAAATTGTAGTTTTTTTTTCAAATTCTAGTTGTTTTAATTGCATGCATGGTCAATTTCGGGCTCTATGATTATTGAAAAATAGTAGCCAAGCAATGTCAGAATATTCTTACTGTGAAAATATTTATCCTACCTTCGCATTATGAAGTAAAATATCCTATTTCATACTAAATTTTTCGTGTTTGGAATATGCCCACATTCGATCAGTTCGATTCCTTGTCAAATTTTTATTCCGCTCATGATGAACCTTTAAAGCCCTTTTTCCTTCATCAGATATACAGAAAATAATCCAACAATGTCTTCAAACCATCAAGTTGTTTAGGAATGCAGAAAACATTTTTTGCTTTAGTTTTTTCAGCTATTTTTTGCATAAACTTTCCAATTCCATTTTTATATACATTATAAATTAATGTATGGGGGGGTGGGGGTACGCGTAGCACTCGTAAAATTTCGGATGAAATATCTTCTGAGTGTCCCTTCTGGTCTAGTATCTATTCTGTGTCTTGGTTTTCGTATTTTAGTTTAATTGAAAAGTCAAGGGAGATCGTTGACATTGCGCAAGCAGCGCATTCGTGATATTGTGTGCTGACATAATTTTTATACTCAACGGTTTTTGCTCACGAAATTCGCGCAACTAACGTTTTCGCGGATTTTTCAAACATTCTGCGCGTGCATCATTTCATTCAACCTGTAAAATGACTACAAAGTATCGTAAATCTACTGGATGTCCTTGGAATTACAAGATCGCTCTCTGGCTCGTGACTTTGGCTGTCATTTGGATATCCTCTAGACCTGATCTGTGCTGCCATAACTGCGTGAATACAGATTCTGGATTTCGTGATGTAATCAATGCACGATCGATCGATATCATGCAGTGGTTTATCTCTTCATCGTCATCAGTCCACTAGGAACAAACACGGTTATCTATGTTTAACACCTCCTGATTTTGATCCCAATACAGATATTACCATTTACTTGGTTATCGCCACCAACCCTACATGGTCCTGTTCAATCCAGTAGTAGCTGGTGGAACTGACAATAACAATCTAAAAGTCCTGTATTTAAATTAACTATCGTCCGATTTCACTAACTATCGTCAATAACCATCGTCCGATTTTACGTCTCAGTATAATCTCTAAAGTTCTCGAGCATATAGTTCACAGGCAAGTTTATGAATTCATCAGACCACCGCTCCATGATCTTCAACACGGTTTTCGTCCAAACAGATCCTGTATAAGCCAATTACTGGAACTACTTCAAGATATTGGTAAGAACCTGGATTCCGGAAAGACAATCGATGTCGTTTACTTGGACTTCTCGAAAGCTTTCGATTCAGTCTCCCATCCAAGTCTTATTCAGAAACTTCGAGATCACGGTATATCTGGCCCTTTGCTCAACTGGTTTTGTGACTACCTTAGCTCAAGGCAACAACGTGTTGTGATCGATGGCGTGTCATCATCCTTTCTCGAAGTAACTTAATTCAGGCGTCCCGCAAGGTAGTGTAGTTGGCCCACTGTTGTTTATTATCTATGTAAACGAAATACCGAACGAAACTACTCACAGCAAGATACCGATGTTTGCCGACGACAGTAAGTGCTACAGACAAATCACTTCGACTGATGACGAACAATTGCTCCAACGCGATATTAACTCACTTCAAGAATGGTCTGTCAAATGGGAACTTAGTTTTAACGTGCAGAAATGCAGCGTGATGCGGTTGACAAAGAAGGAGAATGTTATGCCAGCCAATTACCACCTTGCTAATGAAGAAATAAAGAGTATAAATATCCAAAAAGATCTCGGGATATTCATCAGTGATGACTTAAAGTGGTCAAATCAGATTGCCCACGTGGTTGCTAAAGCCAATCGAATGCTCGGATTTTTGAGACGCCATTGTACGCAGCTCACAAAAATCCATTGCCGTTGTCTGCTAGATCTGACATTAGTAAGATCTCACCTGTCTTACGGCAGTGAGATTTGGTACCCCCAAGGATCATCGCGAGACCTCGTTCTAATAGAAGGCATTCAAAGACGGGCAACAAAGTTCATCACGTAGGAATACAATTCCTCGTACTCTTCCAGATTGAAAAGTTTAAAGTTACTACCAGCCTTCTACTGGTTTGAAATTAAAGATCTGACATTTTACTATAAATGCAAACCTGGTGGCTACGAAGTAGATGTAGACCAATATTCCACTCAACCTCCCCTTCACACTACTCGTTTCAGTTCATCCGACCTACGCCGACCTAACCTTTGTGAATCTTCAACCTTCATATCATCCCACTTCAACAGAATGATACTACTATGGAATAATCGGTCTAGTCATATCAAGTCATCGAACTATATTCAAATCCAAACTTTATACTTATTATCTTAATAAACTAAACTCGGACTTTGATGTTGAGCATCCAAGGACATGGGAAACTATTTGCATAAAATGTCGCTCGAACAACATCACCTGCTGCTCGTAGCTGGTCTGGTGTTAAATAGCGAGGTTTTCGGGTTTGACTTCCACTACGTCAGTCTACCATCATCACTACTGTTCTGCTTTCCGACCAGTTAGAACAACATCTATTCCTAACCATCGATAAAAAAAGATAGCAAAGAACCTGCCACAAATTACCGACCAATTTCACTGCTACCTATCATCAGCAATTGCAACCGTTTTACGAACATGTCCAAGATATGATCAGTACAGCACAACATGGTTTCCTCAAAGGGCGCTCATGTGTGACACAACTTCTCTCTACCTTACATCATATTAGACAATTACTTGACAACAAAATCCAAACTGACGTACTTTTTCTCGACTTTGCCAAAGAATTTGATTCAGTGGATCATGGTATTCTTCTGAAGAAACTTAAAAATTAAGGCATTTCTAATCGGCGTGCAGGCCCACCGAACGAAGAATAGTGGCCCAGCAAGGAAGACCAGGTGTTTTGTAAAACGCCCCTTTTTATAACACGCCCTATTCGCGCGTCAATTGTCAAAAAAAGAACCAATGACAGCAAGCCAAATAGTAACCACACTCGCATTAAAATGTTGCGGGCTTTTCTCTGCGTATTCAGAATAGAAACAATGTGTAAATGGCTGTGTTTAACTCCGAAAAGCAAGCAAACCAGTCAGCTTCAAATAATTGCCAAATTTACAAGTGCTCATTTTCATCTAAATTCGGAACAGGCAAATTAAGAAACAAAAGTTTGAGATAGGAAACCTGTCTGAAACTTCAAATCGCGAGGGAAGTCGTGCGACCACATTAACATGTATAATGTGTGCTTCTACCGCTATTGCAACCTCGTACCCAGGCTCTTTCCACTACGCGCCTCGCTGCATGGGAAAGACTCTGGTCCAGGCTGGTCGCGTGCCTCCCAGGTTTTGGGAGTTAACAAAATTTTTACATAAGGTTTTGGGGCTGAGTTTGTTTTACCTATCTGATTGCCGATGTCAATTCGATAAAGTTCAGAGTGTGTGTATTTTAACAAATGCATGTAATTTTAATGAATAATTACGGAGTACCGTTTTATATTTTAATGAATAACAAGAGCTTGTGTTGCAAAATCAATGGGGAGAGATGTCTTTGTATATGTATTCTTTGTACACTATATGTTATATTTCGAGCCGTTCCACTTATGATTTTACAATTTACAGAAATTTACAATAGACCCGCTTTTGGCTGCTAGGCAAAATGTTCTTTGCTTGTCCTTGAGTATATTACAAATCCTTTCATGGTATTTCTTTGCAGTTTTAGTATGTCTATGCATGACTATGGAGTTTTAGTACATATTCCATTTCCTCGTTTTTCAATAAGACAGTAGTTAGGGGATTATGTATATATTCAATTATGCTTATTGGCAAAATTATGCTTATTGGCAAATCATGTCAACCATAATATGTCACGTGCAGTGGCTTAATTTACTCCTGGTAAAACACTCCTAATTAGTATTCTTTAAATAAAGAATACTAATAAGGCAGTATCTATTGTAGTCGTGTCCTCATTAGTATTCTTTATATAAAGAATACTAATAAGGCAGTACATGTATTGAATTTGTAGTCGTGTTTGAAGCCGTTTAATATTAAAACTCGCAGGTCGTGTTTTAATAGGTCTAAATACACTTGCGCTGCGCGCTCGTGGCTGTAAACCTAATAAAACACTCCTGCTCGTTTATTAAACAGTACTTATAATATTTCGAATTGTTATTTTTAATTCTACATGTACACATGTTTTTACTGTAATAGAGAGTTTCAGCTTGGCGTTCATACGTTAAAAGACAAACGACGGGCAAAGGAACAAATAAGCTTGCCAATATAAGGCAACAAATAGACTTGCTATTTTAAATCTGTAATGTATAACGTATCAGACCTTTTCTTGTTGATATAAAACTAAACCCGCGGCTGTGTCGTTGAGTGAGCTTCGAGAAGAACATCTAACGAGTATCGTATATAACATTTAAGAGTTTAGTTTGAAACATCCAGTCATGCCTTATTAACAACTTAGTCCCTTAGAATAACCGTTATGACGTATTTTATGAAAAATACATGCCATCCTTTGTGTTGCTTTATTCACACTCCTTGTATTGTTTTGAATTCGAATTTGCTCTCCCACACCCCATAAGTCCCAATTGTTATCTCCCAAAATCTGGGAGACACGTGACCAGCTTGGGCCAGGGTCTTTCCCATGGGACGAGGCGCGTAGTGGAAAGAGTCTGGGTACGAGGTTGTCAACATTGTTATAAATACATTGTCTCACTTATCAGATCGTGTGTGAAATTCTTATGGGCGGAAAGTACGAAATTTATTTCAGTTATTTAATTTGGCAAATAACTCGACAAAAGAAGAGAGCGTTCAGAGTCCAGATCGTTTCAAACGGCAATTACCGTCTTCTGTTTCGCCCTCTCAGAGAAGCCCTGCAAATCGCAATGTTTTAAATAAATTCCCGTTTACACTTGCAATTTTTGCTGCGATTTCTAGTGTGATTTTCGAAGATCGCTCCTAAAATTGCAGCAGAAATTGCAAGTGTAAACGGGCCTTAAGTTTAATATACCAGTAGCCTCGTGGGGATACTTTCAGTGACAACTCCCTATGCAAATGTAGTTTTAGAAAATGCAAAATTTGGTTGTTGGTGTAACAATTTAAATTTCGAATTGTCGCGTGTGGCATCACAATAAATAAATAGATTGTATCAATTCCAGGAGGCACAACGTTTCTGATGTGTTTGGCTTGTTTCAAACGTCTCGCTACTCATGTTCCGAACGCATTAAAAACAATAGATAAAGTGTAAGTGTAACTTTACAGGACAGAAAGTCATGCCCAAATAGGAGCTCTTGCAATTCAACATTTCGTGAACGAGTTACGAAGGGAGTGATAAGGAATTGTTTATCTCTTAAAAACGTTGTTCCGATCCACATTTTTGAATAACGTGCCTACTCTAGCTATTGCCTGCTCTAGCCTGTACCTGCTACTGTTCTAGGTTGTCGGCGACCCGATATAGTTCTTGCAGTGCCTTTTTCAGTTTGAAACTTTACACTATCCTTGGATCCCTAGTTGTCATTTAGGCCCGGACAATAATTTAATATCAGAAACGTCAACAACTGATCACGACTCACGAATTCTACCTGCGTATTCGAACTCGCATCTGCAACCTAGCAATCCATAGCTGTGAGTTCGTAGCTCTGTCAACATATCATAAACCTATAGTTTTCCCAAATGTATTAAAAAGTAGCATCTAATTTACACATTTTTGGAATTTCTTGCGCATTTTGTATCTATGTTTTAAGTAATTTAGTGAACGAATAATAAATGAAATGGGAGTCCCAGTGTCTCTTCTAAGTGCACGAGGCAACAGCCTATTTTATGATGAATTCCAATGTATTAACAAAACATAATTTTAAAGAAGAAAATTAAATTATATTAATTCGTATTTTCGTTTTCTTATTAAATACAAAAAATTAATTTAATTTAATTTATCTAACTTTGCCTTGATAACAATATTGAGAAGAAACATCAAATTACTATATATATATAAACAAGGCAGGATATCCGCAGCAGCTACAGCCAATTACTGCGGATCCTTCTTCACAATATTCGATAAATTAGTTAAGTTTACTGAACAGTAAACGGAAAAGGACTAAATAATAAAATCAATCAATCAATTAACGAACTGTTCAATTGACGTGATCTAATCAACCAACCAAGAGATCAAGCAATCAAACACTTACTTATAAAAATATATTTTACCATTGGTAAAAGCAAAACCTTTCCATACAATGTAATAGCATGGATATGAAAAAGCCTAAAAAACACAGTGACTGAAATTTACACACAATCCAGTTTGAAAATAACCTGGAAGATGCCTGTCCACAGCCGCGATCTGGAATTACCTAGTATGAAAAGGTCCTGGTTGCACCAAAATATAAATAATCAAAGTATTTTTCTAAAACTTTCACCTTTGGTCATCATTAATTATAGAATTCAATTCACTTTCAAACAGGATTTTTCAAGAGGTTTACTTTATTTTTAGCAACGTTTCGGACAGTTTTACTGTCCGTCTTCAGGTTATTACAACTTTGTAAATGTTGACGTGTACAAACTCCATAGTATTGTTCACATGGATAAGATTAAGTTTGTACACGTCAACATTTACAAAGTTGTAATAACCTGAAGACGGACAGTAAAACTGTCCGAAACGTTGTTAAAAATAAAGTAAACCTCTTGACAAATCCTGTTTGAAAGTGAATTGAATTATATAATTTATAAATAATCAGTTACGCGAGGTTCAAAAACAACAAGAAGGGGGAACCAGCAAACTTCGAACACAGTTACATTGACACAGGTTGTCTTCCATGTACGTGGGTCGTCAGGGTCGAAAGTTGAGGAAAGAGCGGAGTAGTAGTATTCGTTCAGAATATTCTTGAAGGTGGCAAGAGAAGATTTGTTGTGGTTTTGGGTTATTTCTTTCGGTAGTGCGTTCCATGTCCGTGTTGATCGTATTAATAAGTAAGATCTGCTGTACGTTGATGTTCTGTATCGTTGCTCTTTGAAGGTAGTACCAACCGCATTACGCGACTATCTTGTTGATCTCTCAGATTTCTTTGATTTCGGTAGGAAAGTATTGTTCACATGGATAATATTGTTTGTTAGTTTGAAGAAAAAGACCATGTCTAAGTACTCATGCCAGTAAGTTAATGGAATTAAGTTACATTGAATTAGTCTGTCTTTGTATGAGACGTCGGAGTTAAATGGCAGATGGAGAATATATTTAGTTGCACGTAGCTGAACCCGTTCAATCTTTCTTATTTGCTCCACAGTTTGAGACGCCCAGATCGATTTGCGTCGCGTAACCAAGATGAGCACGTGATTTGCGTCGCGTAAGCAAGATGAGCGCGTAAACAAGATGAGCATAGATTGTTCGTCTTGTTGTGAGAGACTTTAAATTTTTTGTTGTTCTTTTTACGTACCTCAAGATCTGGTTTGCTTTTGTACTCTGCGATTCTACCTGCTTCTTCCACGATAGATCAGACGAGATCCATACTCCAAGGTCACGTTCTTGGAAACAGTGGTCGAGCTGTGTATTTCCCATGGAGTATGAGGCCATAATGGGCTTTTGTTTACGCGATATTGTCTGAACTTTACATTTACACTGATTAAACATAAGATCAGAAGACGATGACCAATTGTTTATGTTGGTCAGATCTTCTTGTAAGAGAGAGCTGTCTGCTTCACACGATATGCATTGGAACAATTTGGTATCGTCTGCAAAAGTTGCAATTGTAGACGAGGATATCGTATCGGGTAGATCATTGACGTAAAGCAGAAACAGGATTGGACCCAAGATAGATCCTTGTGGTACTCCAGATGTCACGGGCGTCGACGTTGATCCTAACGTTGATCCTAACGCTGTCACTTTTTGTCGACGATGGCGAAGATAGGACTGGAACCAAGAAAGCAAGCCACCGTTGAATCCAAAACTACGGAGTTTATCGATCATCTTCGTGTGATTCACTTTATCGAATGCCTTCGACATATCAAGATAAACGACATATATCTGCTCTCCTTGATAAAGAAGTTTACCAATTGTATCTATAACTTGGATGAGTTGAGTAGTGCAGGATTTCCCGGGAGTAAAACCATGCTGACAGCGATTAATTGCGTTCTGTAGATATAGAATCTAAGGTGGTTTAATATGCATCGTTCCAACAATTTCGATACTATACATAAAAGAGAAATAGGTGTGTAGTTTTCTACGCGATCCTTTTCTCCTTTTTTAAATACTGGAACGACATTTGCAAGCTTCCACTGATCGGGTACTACTCCAACTTGGAGAGATTTGTTAAACAGGCAAGTGAGCGACGGAGCAATTTGATTGGCTGTTACTTTCAGAATTCTACCAGGGATTTCATTTGGTCCTACTGCTTTATCTGGGTCGAGAGATTTTAGAGTTCTCAGAACATCACTTTCCGTCACTGATAATTGATCTATTGACTGCGTAGGTGAAACAGAAGAAATAGTGTCATTAAATAGTAGCGTTGTTAGATTGAAGATTTTCTTGTGAAGTGAATACGGAGAAGAAGTGGTTATTGAACATATTAGCGATAGTCGTCGGGTTGTTAGCGACTTTTGTGTCGTTTCCTATTGTCCACGATACAGTTTGTGGGATAGTACTGGTTTTGGATTTTACTTTGAACAGATTCCAAAAGCGTTTCGGGTTTAGATACAAACTCTGGCCGAGGTTGGAGAAGTATTTTTTACGACTCTCTTTCAAGAGATTTTTAACTTTAGTTCTAAGTTTTTTAACTTTTCCGTGCAAATAATCAGTCGGAGAATGAGAAAGTTGGCGTCTGACAGTTTCTTTTTTCTTTAATAAATGCAAGATTTCGCTGTTTAGCCAGGGAATGTTTCTGCTGCTTTTAACTTTCTTAGTTGGGATGTATTTCTTAACGGTAGTTAGAAACGCATGTTTCCATGAATACCAATCTTTGTTTATGTCGTCGTTGTCCGATATCAAGTTACTCAAATTTAAAGACTCCAGAGCTGCACGAAGACCGTTAATATCTGCGTGTTGATAATCGTAGACCATTCTGGTTGTTTTTGGTGGCCGAAAAGGACAAGTTAATACCTCAAACGAAATGACATTATGATCAGTGACTACTCCAGTCATCTCCGGTGAAAGGACTTCGCATATTTTAACTTGGTCTGGTATGCTTGTGATTAATAGATCAAGAATGTTATTTCCTCTTGTGGTATGCGTATTTATTTGAGAAAGAAAAAAGTCTTTAAGAATTTCAGAAAATTCACTTGTGGTTGCTTTAGTTGCCTCGTCACCAGAGTTCTGCCAATTAATGTCTGGTAAATCACCCGCAATGATGACGTCATCATACTGATCACGAATCACGCTTAGAAAATATTTAAAATCTTTCAGCCAGTTATCATTTGAATTTGGAGGTCTGTAGCATGAACATATTAATAAATGCGAGTTCGATTGCGTAGTAACGTCCACTGTAACAATTTCAATGTTGCAATTTATTTCAATCTTACGCACGTGTTTAAACGATTCACTTTTAATGGCCATTAACACTCCACCCCCTCTGCTTTCTCTGTCTTTGCGAAATATTTCATAATCTGGACCAAGAATCTCGCAGTTTAATATATCCTTGTTTAACCACGTTTCATTAAACACATACGATCTCACTGTTCTCCGAGTAAACTAAATCTTGAAAATTATAAATGTTATCTGTTACTTTCATACCTCGCTTGTGCTGGCTTTTCAAACTTCGAGCGTTAAGAAGAAGAAATTTCAGTGGGTTTTTTTAAAACTCTCTTCTTGCGATTGACTAACCGTCTTGAAGGTTGGTCCAGGATTAGTTGCAATATCACCAGCAAGCAAAAGAAGAATAGCCGCATGTGAAATCTTGCGGTTTGTTTGTAAGTTCAAACCGTAGCGATACCGACTATTGCAAGGCGAATTGTACTTTCTAAGAACAACATCACGAGTAGATACCCAGACATAGCATAGTCTTTCAGGTAGGGTAATAGGTTCTGAGCTGATAAAAATGTTTCCTGATGCGATTTGACCAGTATAAAGTGCTCTTTTCGTTTTCAATGACAGCCGAAAAAAGGGAAAAAAGAAGCAGAATGTGAATTATGTCGCGTCCAATCTTCGCCAAATATTTTTTGCCGTCTGAAACATTCTTTGAAACCATGTTTGGATTTAAATTTAAATTAATTAAATTCACGCGCACGCAATTAATTCAACACGTAATAATTTGAAGAAGATTCGCTGACGTTAGATGACCGTTGGTGACGATGTGTGACGTAAGCAAACGTAAGAAAGTTCAGCTTGTGTAAAATGTTTCACAAATTAAATTTACCAGTCAAGCGAAGCAGAGAAACTCTTCTAAAAGTCCTTGGATTGAATTTTAACCTCCAAAAATACACGGATCTAGTCCACGATATCCTTAGACAACTTTCCTAAAAGTTTGGCTCCACAGCTATGTATTCAAATTACTATAAATATCTTTTTACGGAGCTCCCTCGCGCGCATCAGCGCGCGCGAGAGTATCACGAATCTGTGGGCAAGCCAACTGCATGGAGACTCGGACATGCAACCAAGTCTACAGTTGGCTTGCCCATTTAGATCTTACTAGTATTAATAATATAACTCTTCGATTGATGGTATTGACGAAATAAATGGGATCAGTGGTTCCAGCAGCTACCAAATATCCACCCTCAATAAGAAAGCGCGTCAGGGTTATCGCAAAGGTCGCTCTGCGATCACCAAGAACTGTGATAATCAGATTAGAATTAAAAAATAGGTACGCATTGCGTACATGTGGTTAGCCTATAGGATAGGAATTGTTATAGCGTCATATAGCTGATTTCGTTCAATATAAGTAAATTAATTGCTTGTTTGCAATCGAGGGCATCTTGGTTGATTTTTCAACCATTGAATCATAAAGTTTTTATTCGTCATTTGTTGTCATATGAAGCCAGATACCGTATAACATAGCCATAATACTAGCAACCTTTTTAAAAACAAACCAGAAAATATTAAATTAGCTCTACAATTTTGTTGTAAACGGCTAAAATATAATTTTAAATCTCTTTCTCGCTCAGTCCCAAGCATCGTAGGTCGCTAAAAGCTGCCAACCTTTGGATGTTCATATCTTGAGTTCAGTGCATGCTATGAAGACAATAATACCACCATTTGATTCAGTGAAGAAATCAAATAGTTCCGTACAATAGTTTTGGTCATTATCGACATTGTAGCGATTTTTTGCCTCTGCAAGGCAAGCGAGATTGAATATTATCGAATTACTCAAGAACAATATAGACTGGCCGTACCTTTCGCTGAACATATAACTTCGGCCACGCTACAGGGATAATGTGACTCAAATCGGTTTCCGACGTTTCCCGAGTGCTAGGACAGCATTGTTTCGACAATCAGTTTGTATTTCCGGTTGAAGCTCTCACTAACAATTTAGATATTCTGAAATACCGAAATAAAAGATGCAAATCTGTAGATACAAGCTTGAAAATAACACTCTGAATAGTGTTTTGGATTCTGATTCGAACAAGACTATTACGAAAAAGATATGCTGAAAGGGACCGAAGTTCTGTTCGGCGAAAGGTCACTTATGCCTTGGTATTATTACATTGACATTGTTTACATTGTTCGGGAAAATTGTGTGAAATATGGCATCGCTTGACTTCTAAAGATCGTAAATCGCTGTAATGTCCATGTTGTCATTTTACTAAAACCATCCATAGGAATTGTTTCACTGAATTGAATGGTGGTATTTATTTTTCATCCACATAGCACTTAACCAAAGATATATGAACATCCAAAGTAAACCGACGATATGATATGTCGATATCGATCTGCTTTAATTATGCGCAAGCGAAAGAGTATATGCTAGATCCTTTAGCCACAAAATTCCATAAACCAACGACTCTTTCGTATGCCTTTAACTAGAAAATTCCATAAACCAACGGCTCTTTCGTATGCCTTTAACTACAAAATTTCATAGAAATTTCATTTCGTATGCATTTAATTAACTACAATATTTCGCACATGCGCAGACTAAAAACTGTCACACTAAACATTTTTATGGTTTTCTACATAGTGGTTAGCTGCGCATGCGCAGGCTAACCACCAAAACGGTATCAAGTAATCAAAATCAAACGACCGAGTATTATCTAATATTTTGTGTCTTAATGCAAGATTCATCCCGGTTAAGAAAATTGACGCATTGACACTTGTTAGCAATAACTATAACTGATATATAGTAATGGTCTCTGTACTATGACTATCCGATAAAATCCCAGACGAAGCGTTGCACTTTCCAGATATCCCAAGTATCAGTGTAATTAGGAACGACAGAGAAAACAGAAGAAGTGGAGGTGTGGCCATCTTTATTAAACATACAATTCCGTTTAAGATACGTTTAGAATCACTCTAGACTTTCATTTTACGAATCCAAATAACGAATGTTTATGGACTAAATTACGTCCAAAATGGCTCTCCAGTTCAATTTCAAAGATTGCCCTTGCATGTGTTTATCTTTCACTATGGTCCATGGCTAAGTTCCAGAGCAAATAAGGACTTTTACAATCATTTCTGCTGCCGCTACCGCTGCTGCTACTGCTGCTGCGATGATATTCTTACAAGCGAAAGTCCAAATATAACGATTGTTGCCGCTGGGGACTTCAGCTCCATAAGCAACGGTTTTCAGGAGAAGACAATTATCAACCACTGCCGACTAAAGAAAATAGTTAAAGAAACCCACAAGGGGCACAGCAATTCTTGATCTGATGTAGCCTCCTCCGCAGACATCTCTTTGTCTGCAAGCAAATTTTGCCCGCTAATCTAAAGCGATGCCTGCGGAGGAGGCTAGGTCTGATATTGAGTAATGCTTACTCTTTCTATACGAGAATCGGAATGTGCTCGCACCACTTATAAGTTCAGACCATTGCAGCAGTATCGAATGGAGATCGAAAGTTCAAATTCTGAGCAAGAATAAAACAAAGAAAATCGTCACTCGGCCATTAAAGGACTATAATCCTGCTACATGAGAGATAACGCACATTTTTAATGAGTCCTTTATATTTCTCGAATTTCCCGGAGGAAATTTTAATAAAATAATTTTTAGTGTAAAATTTAATGTCTGACTGCTGTCGCTTGGACCACATTGTTACCATAGCAACACATAATCTGATTCTTTCGAACGAATGTACTTCAAGCATAAAGATTGCATAAGCGTTTATACTTTCTAAAAATTCCCTATTTTGCATAAATAGCAAATTATTTCGGGTCGTTGTGAAGACTTTATTTTTCGATGCCATTTCTCAACAACAGAAGGAAGCTACCTTAAGAGTGAGTTTTTTATGTTTATTGGTTTAAAAAGGTGACATCTCAACAGGATTGCACATGTGTATTTGTATGACTATTCCGCCCTCTATCGCCCGAAATAGTCAATATTTTGTCCTCAAATTTTGAGTTTATCCGCCGGATAACAATTTAAACGGTCTCAAGGCACCGTAACCGAAATTTACCCAGTGCATGGATGGCGCTGAACGGGGCCAACGGGCTTCGTGCAACGCAAATTATCAAACGTTTAAATTTTATCCAACCGAGAGCTTTATTAAACGGTGGTTAGAGACTTACACCCCTTTTGAACAACCGGCTCCGGAACAAAAACGGGTATTGACAAAAACAAAACGGCAATATTTTTCATTTTTCAATAGTTTTCATATTTTTCTTGGGAGATAATAAAAATGTTCGCTTTGTATGCACTTTATTTGGATGGAATAGTATTAAACCCAGTAATTATAAATCGTACATTTTTATTTTTAGCTCCAGGAGAAAAAGAAAAACAGGCACTTGACTCATTTCACTACAATATCCTGAGAATGGTGGGTTTTAGTATTAAAATATTACAAACATCTTTTTAACATATAATACTGTGTCTTATGAATAAGCATGGCTTCCCAGAGAAATTCGGGGGCCCGGTGCAAATTCTTATTACGCCGGGCCTTATTTTTTCAAGAAAAATGTTGGCGAGCGGGGGGAGGGAAGTAAAAATATTTTCCGGACAAACACCTGTAAAAACACAGGTAAAACACTTTTTTGGACCAATATGAGAAATATTAAGGTCTAAAAATGTTTTCTCATATACCATTATTTATATATTTATTTTAATATCTGTCGTCACCATATTTACTCGTGTGGATGGTTAGCTGCAGACGTTGTCAGCTGATGATATAGGGATTTGACTTACTTGGATTTAGGTCCGAATCACGTGAACCTGTACATTCAGGACCTGACCACCGAACGTCTGCACCTTGTCATACCGAACTAAGTGTTCGGTGAAATTAAACAGAAAGGCAATTGTCGTCATGCAAATAAAAAACAAAAAAAATTAAATTTGGCTTCTTCTCTAAGCAGATTACTATTGCAGTTGGCTATGAGTTAGCAAATGCATGTGACTCAGGTCTGCTTGGCACTCTCTATCCTGTGGGCACATGTCGTACCCAGACTGCGCGCGATTCCTATTATATTAACCTTGCATAGTTGCTATCATTACCTCATTAAAAAACGTTCCAAATTTTTTTTTAATTACAAACTTTTGTGGCCTCCTTTTTTAGCGACCAAATTCGCAAAGCAAATGGCACTTTTCCTGAAATTTATTGGCTTAATTGTCCTGTGGGACATCGCCGAAATTGGTTTTTCGCCTTTGACGTCATTATAAGAATGGTCTAGGCTATTTCAATTAAACGTAAGCGAATATACAGTATCTGCCTAAATTTTACGTGAAATTTGGCTTCATATGCATGGCCAATTATAATTTTGTCAATTTTCGTCTTCAATATGACTTAGCCAAAGCGTTTAGATTTAGATCACAAACTTGAAAATAAATAATGTGCACACGCAACGCATCACATTAAAAACATATGTAATTTAAGGCCCTGTCACATTATTGCGTATCGTACTAGCGTATGCGGCCAGCGTATGAAAAATATCACTCATACGCCGGTACGTATACGCTGACATACGCTAGGGGTACGTTAGGCATAGGTTGTATACGTTTCAAGTACGGTCGCGTACGGTGGCATACGCTGGTATACGGCGAGGCAGAAACTTTTTTTAAGCATGTTCAAAAATTTTGTGCGTATCGAACGTATGCTTTATACGATAAGCATTCTCTAGGCACACGCTGAATACGCTAGAGGTACGCCAGATGTACGGTACTCATACGCTGGCATTTCAAAGGATTTTTGTGCGTATGAAAATTATTTCAGTAATTTTCATACGCTTGTCATACGTTTCTGTCATACGCAATAGTGTGACAGGGCCTTTAAAATGCTACGTTAGTTATTTTCAATAAATATTCACAAAACATGAGATTATTTTAAATTCCTAATTCGTTTCTTTCCAACTTTTTTAATTAAAGTTGAAATGCCTGAAGGACTACACTCTTTGCTGCATCACAGGATCAAACTGCAACGAAACTCTCCAACAGTGCTTGAAAAATCGATAAATATATGCTACGTACGGTGACTGTATGGATATTTATATTTTGTTTGTATGATTAATACATTAACGACCATACTTATGTAAGAGTCCGACGAAAGATCACGAGACTGAACATGCAGGCAACTGTTCGCTTTTAAAGCCACAGTGTCACCTGCTACGTTATGTGGTTTAGTCGGCGTCAAACATGAAATGTTCACAAATGCGAAAAACTTGAAAGCATTCGTGGAAAAGGAGTGACGCTATTGTATGGCGCATTATGACACAGTCATTCACTGGCGAAGCTATCCATGGCAGCTGGTTGTGCCATATGCTAATAAACATAGTGCATCTATATAGGTTAAAGACAATATATTGACTTTTCTAAAAGTTTCAATAATGAAAACGTTTGGTATTTGCATATGTGACCTGTTACTATGGCTAGCTTTGCCACTAGCTGGGCACATCATACAAACGTCGGCCTGCAATAATTTTTAAACGTTGTTGGGACGCCGGACACTTGCGGATTTAGATCAACAGTAGATATATGCAAATTATTACAATAATTTTGTATTTCACTCCCGATATACAGCAAAGTAAGATGCTACCTGAGAACCAACATTGAAAGGGAGCGGGAGTGAGGGAGTGGTGAAAGTTTTCCAAAATAAAATGTAGTTGGTCCAAACACATTTGAAAATGATTGTAGTTTACATCAAATCTTCAATTTAAATAAATTCATTAATTAAAAAGAATCTGACTTTTAGACTTTCCACGGTCCTCTCAACAATGATGAAAAATTACATATATTGTCGAGACGACATATTCAGCAGTTGACACTGTGCCTTTAAGCACTTTTTAAAGCTAGCAGTATCTTTCCGTAATAATTTAAAAATAGATTTTTGGTCAATTGATTTAAGTATATATAAAGCATGAGCAGCCGATCTTTAACTGGTTTACTGGAAGAAGGCGAGAAGAAGGTGACCCGTAGAACGTACATCAAATTCAGATTCGATGCGAATGCTTTTAATTACTTAAATTAAAATAGAAGTACATCTGAGCAAATTTGTATCGACTTACAGATATTGTGATTTATTTTGAGTATCATGAATTATTGATGATTTTTAGTTGTTATTATTGTATTTCTGGGAGTTATGATGCTAACATAATTTAAGTCAATTTTACTCAATTCTGAATTTTCCCAAATTGCTGATAATTCCGAACACCCATAATGTCAGTGGAGATATTCAAATACAACATTTAAATAAACAACATACTTTTTATGCAATATTTTAGTATTCGAGCCTTTTTGTGCAATATCTTACAAGTTAACAGGACAAAGACAAAGAAAAATCAAATTTCCGGATTCACGAATGTAAAATTAAGGTTTAATTTCACTTAAGGTTCAATTTGTGAAACTTTGAAAACACAAGTGAAATTAAACCTTACTTTTACGAGAAACTATGCGATTACTTGTTAATCATAGTGAGTAAAATTTATTCGTAAGTTAATTGTGAACTTGTCAAGTTCTTGAACCTCGTATGTCTCATGCATGTCTTCGCCTTTTCGCCGATGTTTCTTAATGCTGCCCTGCCTGCCTTTTTCTTAAATACTCCAACTAATAAATTTGTACTTTTTCTAGTGTTCACGTTTTCACTAGAAGTTTTTAATTCTTCAATACCAGTAACATCATTATCCGCGACGACAAAGCGGGAAGCCATTGTTTGTATTGCTTTTTAAAACAAAAAACCTCCCGGGCTTGTGTCTCAGCCAATCAGGTACAAGTAATTTTGCCATGAATTAAGAAAAAATTCCCTCCTCATTAGCCAATCATATTTAAGTAATTTTGCCCTCTATATATGATTATTACATTAATTTGCTTCGAAATTGGACTATGTTGTAGAGAATTGTACGACAAACAAACTACGCTTTTTCCCATTGTATACAGGGTCAGTTGGAGAAAATTAATAGGAAAAGTCAGACGTACTTACTTTATAGGAAAACTACAAAATACGTAGCCTCAGTAGATGTACCGACCCAGATTCGACCGACCACACTTTAAAGATGCAGGCCGGCCGTTCCTAGCGCGATAATTGAGGGGGGGGGGTGTATATTCATATATTCGTGTTCTGCCCGACGGATTTCTTTTGAAAGCGATTGATTTTACGGTATGTGAACATGAATATATGAATATACACCCCGTCCCCCCTCCAATTATCGCGTCTATGAACGGCCCTGTGAAGATGATGAGAATACGAATTACGAAAGCATGAGAAATTTATGATGTTATGTCGGCAAGATGCAGGCAATGACAGATATGGGTTATATCGAGGTGAATCTCTACTAACAGAGACCATGACAAAGTTTCTGGTTCCATGCAAGTAGGAGTAGTAGGCGAAAGAGTGAAAAAAGGTCGTCCGGTTTAGATTAATTAAGATTAGTGTTAGGTTAGGGTCGAATAAAGATTAGATTAGGGTTAGAGGTTAGAGTCTGGGATACGTAGATTAAGGTTGGGGTTCAAATTAGATGGATGACTGGCTCAGATGATCATCCTTTTTGGGTATCACCTACATTTCTCAATACACCCTTTCGATAATTACGTCACACGTACTTTTTGGATCTTGGAGCCTCGTTCTCAGTAGTAAATTACGCAAGATGATTGGCTTACGATTCATGATAGTAAGGCTCCCAGGTCAAATGACGTAATTATCGACAGGGTGTATTGAGAAATTATGGCTATTACCCATTGGGAAGTTGTGACAAGGCGTGTAATTCTGTGCATTATAATAACTAACTTACATTTTACAACAATGATGCACAATCATGATAGCAAGTGGAGAATCCATGGTTGACACGGAGTGATGTCAACGTTAATTTTCCGCAAGGATCTCTCTGCAATTTTGGGGGATGTTTTATAAAACGGAAGATGTTTCGGGATCAGTTTTTAAGGATTTCGAAATTCTGAAAAATGTCGAGATCACTAACTTTAAAATTGAAGGACTTATGGCAGTATCTAAAATCTGGGATGCATGGCCATGACCAACGTAAAACTTTTACTGCCGAAGTTTGGAGGAAGGTTTAGAGGTTTAGTGCATTTGGGGCGACCAGTAGAGAAAAACGTACAGCAGCCCTGGCGGTCTGCAGATCACAGATGTGCTCGCTTACCAGTTCTAAAATTACCATTAATAGTTACAAGCCATATCGAAGACTGAGAATTTCCTAAATATTGTTCGATGTTACATATAATTTATTACACTTTACATGCACACTGTTTTAATCCGAATGTGAATATTTTGGCTCAAGTTGAGCCTAATACGTGTATTGTCAGAAAGATTCTTGAAAAATGCTCCCTTCAGTCTATTTATATAATTTCGAAACATTTTTAGTTGTTTTTTTTTTTGTTATGTACATGTATATATCAGTTGGTTTTGTTAAGCTTTAATCTTTGTTTAAATTAATACTGTTTTTTTCATCAAGATATATTAGCCGATAATATTCAGGATGACAATAAGACTATACCAATGGCGATGTTAAGAACAAGCGTGGGATACAAGTCATACAACAAACATTTTGGTAAAAAAGAATGAATCAAAACCTTTTGAGACCACAGGGCCGCAGTAAGCTCTTTGCGATTGGGTGAAAGCCAGGGCCGAAAGCCCGAGGAAATTTTTAAATTTTGAGCTCGGAAATGCCATTTCCTGGACTCTGTGGAAGAATTGACAGAATTCTGATTGTCAGGAAACAGCGGTTTAGTATGTTGAAATGTACAATTTAGTAGTACTAAATGGGCGAAGGCTAGGCGTATTTAATTAGACAGATTTAGATCGAGGACGTCGACGTGAAGAGGACGTCAAATTGTCGCGCAAAGCCTGGGTCTAGGACGTCGTCCTGTATAATTTAAAAACAGACTTAGATGAATTTTTACGACGCCATGAAGGCTTGTAGAATTTTCTTTTGGAAAAATACATCTTTGCGTTGAAATACACAGTTTATAAAACTTTTGTGAGCCCACTGAAAGATGAAGACTATCTAGAAGTGAATATAAAAGAAAAGCTTAATAAACTGAAAAGAGATTTGGACCGAAATAATATGTAATGTTTACATTGTAATGATTGTATTTATTTACACGTCTCGTACGAAGACTTTGTGCAGGACGCTTGCCAGATGATTAGTTGATGTTCTTTTAATATTTCCTTTAAAACTTTTATACTATTTTTTTAAATATAAATTTTAGACGTTAAATGTCGTGTTGCTGGCGTGATATTAGTTGTAGTATTTTTTGTAGAGATTTTAGCTAGCCCAAAAGTACATAGGTTTAATTCATTGTGGCAAAAAAATCTAAAATGTCGCATGGTTTACAATCTGTTTGTGATGCTATAATTCTTGCTCGAGCAGGCCAGTATATTTCTGATGCCGAGTTCATTTTACTTTTCGATTACAACTGGTCAAAACCATTGTTCCCATATTGGAAATTTGATGAATTTAATATGGATACTTGGGATGATGAAGAATGCAGAACTGAATTACGGTTTGCCAAGGGAGATCTGCCTGTGTTAAAAGCTGTATTAGGAGTTCCAGATAAAATCACCTGTCAACAAGGGACAACATGTTCAGGAGACGAAGCACTCTGTATTTTGTTGAAACGGTTTGCATACCCATGTAGATACTCGGATATGGTGAGCAGATTTGGTAGAAATCCTTCAGAGCTATGTTTGATTTTTAATGAAGTGTTGGATTTTTTGTATGAGCGACATCACCATCGCCTTCAAAGTTGGAATCAGCCATTTTTGTCACCAGAAATCCTTCAAATTTATGCTGATGCCATTCACAACAAGGGTGCCCCACTGGATAACTGCTTTGGGTTTGTTGATGGTACTGTTCGACAAATTGCGCGGCCAAAGTATCACCAAAGAGTTATGTATAATGGTCATAAAAGAGTCCATTCAATTAAGTTTCAAAGTGTTGTTCTACCTAATGGTCTCATTGGAAACCTTGCTGGTCCCTATGAAGGTAAACGACATGACAGTATGATGCTCCAAGAATCTGGTCTCTTAACAAACCTACGACAGATTGCCTTCTACAACAACAACCCTTTGCATATATGGTGATCCTGCTTATCCACTGGGTGTTCATTTGCAAGCACCATTCAGGGAAAGAGAGCTTACACCGGCAATAGCAGAGTTCAACAGGGAGATGAGCCGGGTTCGAGTCTCTGTCGAGTGGATGTTTGGAAATATTACTAAGTATTTCAGCTTTGTGGACTTTAAAAGGCAAATGAAATTGCATCTAAGTCCTGTTGGAAAAATCTACACTGTGGCAGCATTGTTGCAGAATGCTCATACCTGCTTGTATGAGAACATTGTATCTCATTTTTTTGATCTGAAGCCTCCTTCAATGCATGAATATTTCTGGTAATACACATTCACTTAGTCTTAGTTGTGAATTTTAAAAAAATGCCATGAGCTACCTTGAATAAATTATTGCAGGAAATAAATTTGCATGGTAGTATAGAAGGTCAAATTGCAATGGGCTATTCCAATTATTATCCGCATCCCCCTTGTTGAGGAACCTTGGAATTTCCAGGGGAGGGGATGCATTAACCTTAGAATTTCCAGGGGAGAGGGTGCATTAACCTTGTAATTTCAAGGGGAGAGGTGCATTAACTTTAAATTTCCATGGGAGGGGGTACATTAACCCTGGAATTTCCAGGGAAGCGGCATCCAGGCTCTGGAATTCCAAGGGGAGCAGTAATTCTCACATGAAATTTCCAGAGAGAGGGGTAAATTTTACATGAAAATTTGCAGAAATTCCAGGGCAGTACTGACATGAGAAAGGGGTTCCTCAACAGGGGGTACGGATAATAATTGGAATACCCTAATGCCTAGCTTTGCCGCCAGTCTAATGCCAGATGATTTAATTGTTGATTGGAGAGTTATGCAGCTTAATGGTCAAGACTCAAGTATCAATTTGTTTAGAAAATTCTTGGTAACCTTGGCACCTTAAAATTGAATCACCAAAAACATTCTGTTTTAATAAAACACATATTTAATGTTGTATTTTACACACAACTTAATCAGGTTATTCAACTCCTATAGAAACAATAATTTTAGAAGAAATATATTAATTGATGAACATTGTTAACTATTCAAATAATAGTATAAAGTCCAGTTTAAAGTTATAAATAGTTGTTATAATGTTTCAGCATTAACTGTAAATGTGAAAATTACTTACAATGTCTAATAACTATAATTTTTTCTCCAACAAATTTACCAACACATTTGTTTGCTGTGCTGTTGTTGCATGATAGCAATCATTTGCTGCTGTAGAAAGTTAAATTCTTGTTGATGCTGTTGATGTTGTTGTTGTTGTTGCTGCAATTGTTGCTGCACGAACTGGTCAGACAGCTTCATCTGCATCGCAAACTGTTGTTGTGTCTGGTGCATGGCTTGCGTCATCTCTTCTTGCTGGACTCTCTGAACTTCATGGTATTCTCTTTCTTCTTCCCGTTTTGCCTTTTTTTCTTCTTTCTCCAACTCTACCCTTTCTTGCAACCATTTCATCATGTCTCCTGACCTTCTCCTCTTTTGTTCTTTTCCACTACCTTCACCGTTCTGTCTTGTCCTCTTCCTAGTTTGTCCAAGTGTCTCCATTGCCCGTTCTCTCATCTCCAGTGCCTGACCTCGCTCTTGTTCAATCCTTTGTTGGTTTTCTTCATTTTCATTTTCAACCTGTCTTTCCATCTCCCTTTCAATATGGATCAATTCCTCCAACAAACTTTCAGCCTCTGTCAGTTCAGCACCACCTTCACCCGTTGATCTTTCTTCTTGTGCCATTCTTGCCCTATACTTTTTTGCCATCACATTGTAGTGATCTCTGACTGCCCGTGATGTGACTCCTTGCCCTAGTGCAGTGATGTTATCGGCAATTCTTTGCCACTGCATACCACGCTCTCTGGACCGGGGTTTATTTGACATAACACCTTCTGCTGCAATTTCTTTCAGTAGGATTAGATCTTTTGCCTTTGACCATACCATGCTAGAAACAGTGAATATAAATGTAAACAAACAATATCAATTTTTCTGGAATCACAAGGCTATGGATTCGATTTTTTAATACCAGAGAACCTAGTGTTGCATTTTCTGCAATCGTTCCTGGTCAGGTCTTAAATTGCGAATGTACTCACTTGGATTATAAACCCAACACACCATACTAGTTCTACACACCAAGTGAAGTCATGACAGGTGTTTAATACTCTACCATTGTTGAAGTTAGTTTGATTTGTTTACCTTTTCTTCGGAGATTTCTTGTTCTCTTCCAGTTGTAAGACAGACATCGCTGCCCCTAAAAAGATAACAAAAAACATTGCACTATTTTATTACTACAGTATATACTTTCAATATTGTACTTTATAAATACAGCAATACAAATTACAAAATAAAAAGTAAATAAAATCGATTGAATATCAACTATAAAACGATTGCCCATAAAACAATATATCAAATAATAAAATGCAAGTTTAAAAGTTAGATAAGTAATGTCGTTCTTATCGGCATCAAACTACACAATATGTTGTTTCTTGTTGTGTTTGTTTTGAGACACGATCAGCCATATTCCATAAAGCCGGAAACAAATTTGGTTCGTCTTACTATGTTAATTATGCGCATATTAAACATCATACGTTCATATTATTTCGAAAATAGAGAAAAATAATAGATTACCAACATCACTGATGCAAGTTTTATCATGTACATACCTTTTTCGTCTTTAAAAAATCAAGAAAAAACTGACGTCCTAAACACGACGTGAAAAATTGATTTTGACGTCCTGAAAAGTGCTAAGACGACGTCGCCATCGATGACAACGCCACATTTTCGCGGCATATGACGCCATCCCGCGTCCTCTTCACGTCGACGTCCTCGATCTAAATCTGTCTATTATCCCCGAGCCGACGGCGCGAAGCGCCGTGCGAGGGTACTAATTCCCCCCGGCTATTTACACCCGAGGAAACGAAAGCATTAACGAAGTCTAAAGTTCATCAAATATCGCGGGCGTGGGTCACCAACCGTGGGTTGTCATCCTCACTGATCTCAAAAATATGGCGGACTGTCATGAATAGCAAACACTGTGATTGGTCCAATTTAAAGTTTTCATTATAACGACTGCATGACGACAGCGAAATTGAAAACATTTCTTTATTTGGTGATTGATGAATTTCTTGCAAATATATTTCGTTTTTGCTCGCATTTTTGCAAGATTTTGTAAATTTCAAGAAAGAAATGGCGAAAGAATCTGCTAAAAGAAGGGAGCCGACGTTAACGAAGGTAAGTTTGCTTTAAATATTGATTTTATAATTGCTTTAAAACCCGACGGCCTTTGCGTATATGATACAACTAAACAAGACAGCATATCGGTGTATCTTTAATATTGATTCCCTGTATCTTTAATATTGATCCCCAATTCAGTGTATCTTTAATATTGATTCCCTTTTTTATTATATTGAATTTTTTTAAATAAAAAAGAAAGCAAAGTTATTTGCATGCTAGAATTTGAAATAATTTTATTGCAAACTCAAAGTTTATCGATAAAGCCATATTTTCATTAAAGGCAGTTTAGTTTTATAAAGAACACTTTAAAACGTTTTGCGAAGCGCTTGCATGTGGTTGAATGTTACCTTAAATTGAAGCTCATATTACGTATAATATCATACCTAACATATATATATATATATATGTATATGTTGGGAAATTGATAATTTTGTAATTAAAAGTGATATTTTTAAGCGATTTTTCATTTGTAAGAACGATTACCGAATATTCTTAAAAAATTATCGTGTTACCATGGCAACTACTTTAGATACTTCGTGTTTGGAAAATACAATGGTTTTTGTCAGCAAGGCGAGGGTTTCTGCACGCATGTATTTTCTAGTCTATATATTGGATAAGTTGCAGGAATGTATGGGTAATATCTTCATTCTTTGTAGTTTGTCATGGAGTAAATAATAAAGGTTTGCATGATTTTGAAAAAAGAATGATTATTAGCAAATTATTAGGAGGGGGCTGCAGTCGCCCCCAACCCCTCCCCCCCGGTTGCTACGGCCCTGGACCACTTCCTCGTTTAATGCCATGCATTGGCCATTGCCCTTTTGAGATAAGCCGGCCGGATTAACTTTCTGCTCTCACAATATTTGAAAATCCTTAACAGCTTCCGTTACCGAAGAAGCACTTCAATTTAAAGTACATCACAACCTTCCAAATTAGTTTAATATTACCATTCATAACGTGATACTTAATTATGGTACGCGAGTGTTGATTGGTTGGGAAACTTGTTTCTATGAGTAACCGAATGGAAACACGAGAATTTGCCGTCTTGAAGCTTTAATTTAAAACGCTCGTTGAAACGTAAATAAAATAATTTCAACACGCGTTATGATCGAAAAAAGTGTGATAACACTAGGTTTATAGGAGGGAATTCTCAGTTTCAAAAGGGGAGAGCTTGATATATGCTTATGGCCAAATTGACGGGAAATTAATGCTAAAGTAATGAGAATTAGTAGATTAAACGATATATAAAAATGGCTATTGTAGTATACTGAGACTTGTTTTAGTATAAGAATATAAGCAAAACAAACAACGTGGTCGAGTTACAACACACTTCTTTTATTCCCATACAGCATTATGGAATATGCATAAATTATGCTAATATGAACCTTAATATATTACAGCTATAAAATCTTTTCTTTCCCGCTTTAGAGTCATTGAAGCACGTTTTGTTGTAATTTGGGAAAACTCAAAATAAACCTGGAAAGGCTCGCCTTTGCGCTCGTTTTCCTTATCTTCAGGAAGAGCACAGTAAAAGGTAGACTTGAATTTACTGAGGGTCCCTTGTACTGCTAGGGACTTGATATCTCGTTGTTGAAGAGGCAACAAATCTAGGACACATGCTTTTAATTCTTCTGTATTTGAGAGTCCAGGGTATAACACACTGTTCTCAATCTCTTTGGCTGCAGCTGCAAAGACTTCGTCAATATCCATCTATACAGCAGAAACAATAGGATACGTTTACTGAAAAGCGTATGGTAAAAATTTATACCCAGTTATTAATATAAATTATCTTCACATATAAGTGGGTTTCACTAAGCAATTTCGGGCAGCAGCAGTTAGTGGTCATGGCATTCATGGTAAAATATTGTTGATTCTCTCCATTTATACATGTGTGTTTGTTTTAGATTTGGTGAAAAAAAAAGTGGGGAAAGATAAGTTTAATTTTCTTGCTTCTATATTATTAAAAGTGAACGATTTTGGCTTTGACCAACATTCGCTGCCACACGTGAACCAACCTATTTGCTACAAGCCCACAGATATCTATTTATACATGAACTACGCACACTATTAACACTATAAAACAGTATAAATAAATGCTCACTAACGCTAAGCAGTATAAATAAATGCTCACCTCGCATTAAACAATGTTATCAAACAAGGTCACACGAAGGAAGTCTCCAAAAACGACGCTTTTTTCAATTATTTGATATTAAAATCTCAGGTGAAATTAATTTGAAATCAACAAGAAATTTGCTTTATGATTGACTTTTTACGACTTTGGCATGACGTAACCTTTTTTGCCGCCCGCACATGGCCTGCGTACATGTGAGCGGGCTGGGATGCTTTCGATTGCTTTCGATTGCTTAGGGAAAAAAATTTGCTGCGCCACCCACCCACCGACGCCCAATGTAAACCAATTGGGATAGAGAGTTTTGTAAACTAGATACATCAATTTTTTGTAAACTGATACATCAATTCCGGACATTTGCATATCAATAATACTGATTAACTCATAAGACACATAAGTGTATGCTAGCGAAAATCATCAAAATAATTATATATTCAAACTTTATTCTCGTTCGTGATTGGTCAAAACGCCCGAGCTAATTCTCCGTATCTAGAAGCTGACGCGTTATTTCAGCTGCTGAGGTGATCAGCATGCAATAATACAGTGGCTTGTTTTGATCAAACTTGGATCCGAAACTAAGGTAGTCTTACACGCTGTCGAACCCAACCCCCCAGCGCGCTTTTTTTATTATTGTCGTTTAATTGTTTTAAAAATGTTGTTACATGGAATGAACGTTTCATTACTTTTGCATTAAATGTTTATCTATTCCGCAGGTGTTGTTCTTTGCTTCTTGTTTTTGAATATATAGCCTTCGGCTACGGTGGATAACACAAACCTCGTCCTCAGCCTTCGGCTTCGGTGGATAACACAAACCTCGTCCTTGATAATTCTCGATATCATGCTCAGCCTTATTCAATAATTGTTTAAGATCATTTCAAGGGTTCTTAGGATTGAAACGTTAGAAAAAATGAGTTTATAGGTGCACTTTAAGTTCGGAACAAACGAGAATGAGAGTTGGCAGTGGCGCAACCTTGGTTAACTGTTCTTAATTCTTTTACAACTCTGTCATGTATTGTATTTTGGTTAAAACATAGTTAATTGGAACTCTTATTAAACCTTCATTTCGTTGACCTAGCGTTTCAATGTCCCCCATACCAATGCGTGACTGCCGACACTCATCAACTCTCATCTTCATTTGATCGGGAATCTTAAGATATAATGATGTAATACGAGTTTCCTTTATCTTCTTAAGTCTCTTAATTCTTCCAGTGATATCGGCTTCACGCGTGGTCGATCACTTAAGTGCTTGCCAATGATCACTGTATTTAGATAACAATTTTACTGTTACACTCAAAACCCACTTCAGAGGAAACCACAAAATCTCTAATTTCAAGAGCATGCATGTGAAACCTGAAAAAAAACACGACAAAGTTAGGTTTTATTTCCCGCGAGAAAATAGCTCTTTGAAAGAAAAATAAACTAACCTATAAATTTCTTGGGAATCAAAACACTATTCAACAGTGGCAATGTTGGCGCAAAACTCAATGCATGAAAGATAATGAGAATACTATTTTGTTGATATACCACAAATATGGCAGCCGTGATGTAACGTGCAATCGCCGCACATTCCATACACTGGTCAATCAATAATATCAAGCAATGGGTATGGGTATCTCCAAGCGTCAAGATATATTCACTTAAAATCAGGAAGTATTGTATATTAAGAGCATTTTATATATCCTGTTGCCTGAAGTGTAGGAGGTGTATATTCGTGCATGCATGTATAAATTACCGTTTAAGGTTGAAATGTGATGCGCAGAGCTTTATATAGTTGCGGAGCGAAATGAAGAACGGGAAAGGAAAACTCCGCCAGAATATGGTCGAAAAAATGCATATAGTAAATACAAAACTGGACCTTTCATTTATCTTCGTTGTTTTAAACATCTGTTCGTAAGTTTTTCTAGATGGTGTATAATAATACCGAGACGCGCTAATACCAGTCAGAATAACTTGAGCGAATATCTGCCAGAAAAAGTGTTCCTTGCGAAAGTTCCAGACATCTGGATTTATATATTGTTTATAATTTTAACAAATATTATGAACAGCCACTACGTACAATAACAACGATCAATACGAACTTTTAATAGACAGCTGTAATCGAAATTATTGATTGAATGTGAAAAGCGCAAGGATCGCTAACACACTGCATAGCGCGAAATTGCCAGATATATTTACCGTAGAGTCATGCTACATAGTTTCGCAAAAATTCGCTATTTTATTTATCCATCTGACCTAGTCTAGTCTGGTTATTTTTAACCAGGACATCCTTGTCAAATATGGCCAGATTCTTGGTTACTTTTACCAGACTATCGTAGGAATTAAGTGACATGAAATAACCTGGAATCTTTGTAGGCTATTAATTAATGGTTCGAGTGCAATTTGGAAAAAACATGCATCACGAGTGAGTTTTGCAAAGACTATCGGACTCGTGCAATTTGAAGTATTTGAACAGCTCACGGGTGTATGTTTTTTCAAATTGCACGATAAACATACTATTACTTATTAATAATATACTTATGCAATACGTCATGGTAAATTTGTTTTTACTATTTCTGCTGGAAATTGCTGTATCTTATTGACTATCTTTGTTATTGTTTCATATTATAAGCCAATCAGAATGCCTAAATAGTCAATTGAATTTGCACTGTATTTCTAAAAAATTGCACTGCTCTTATCCAATCAGAATTGAGAAATATTTTCATGCATGTTATTAGAAGTTAAACCAAATAAGAATAAGTTCTTTGTACGTTTGCATGGCGATAAAACATATAATAGTTTTGTTTGTGGAAACACCACGTAAATTTATTACTGCAAAGCTTTCGATCCGTAAGCTCGGATCTTCATCAGTGCTAATAATATATTATTAATATATTATCAATATATTATTAATGTATTATTAGCACTGATGAAGATCCGGGCTTACGGATCGAAAGCTTTGCAGTAATAAATTTACGTGGTGTTTCCACAAACAAAACTATTCATACAAATAAGATTATATCTAGGTTAATCAGGAAAATTTTAATCAAGGTGTTTTTAGAGTGTAGATTGTCACAAGCAATCGTTAAATGTATACAATGCAAGCGGAAGAGTGTAATGGGAATTGATATTTTAAGCCCCGATCAAACAAGGGTAAGAGTTGATAAGAGTTATACATGTAGAAGTCGCGCATAGTTCCAGTGGGATTTTTCATGCAAGCTCTAACCTCTGGATTAACAAAGGTTTGATGAGTGTTTTAAAGATGTTTTAACTTAAATAAAATACATGATGGTCTTGGAAAAGCATGAAGAACAGCTAACCAAGTTCGCGTGACTGCCAACTCTCATGCACTCTCATCCTCGTTTCATCCGGGCTTTATATGGTAAAATATATTATAAATTTCCTTGTGGTCGACTGTTTATCATATTCCCATATTGACAATAACATAGCTCTAGCTGGGTTTATAGCCAATATTTAAGTTGGAAGATTAATTTCTTTTGAATCATAATTATTACAACACGAAATGAAAAAAGCGGGGTTTTATTTACAAACGTTAACCGTTGGTCGCTATACAGTATAATGTATACATTTCCGTGCGTGTTGTGCGCTGCATGGAAATGAGTAACTAGTTCTACTTACCATCAAAATGCTTACTTAAATATATTAGGGAAAAGAACAGACTTTATCGAAAATTTCTGAAGTTTCCTACCTCACAAAACGGAATATATAGAAATAAGTTGAGTTCTCTGTTACGCACAGCAAAACGCCTTCATTATGAAGAAAAATTAAACTTACCGAAAACAAATGTTAAGAGAACTTGGCAAGTTTTAAACGAGATATTACAAAGGAGGGGGAACAAAGCGAATAAAATACCTTCTAACTTTTTTACTAATATAGAAATATTTCTGACCCAATGGAAATAGCTAATCAATTTTGTAATTATTTTTCTAATATTGGCTTAAATTTAACGAAAAATATTCCTGTATCCCAATATACTCACCACTCTTATCTTAACGGTAATTTTATCAATTCAATTTTTTGCAACCAGTCTCGGAATTGGAGCTAAACGAAATTATTAAATCATTCCGTCCTAAAACCACGGTTGGCTGGAACAAAATTCCAATGTGGGCCGTTAAGGTTTCATTTGAATATTATTTTGTAAACCTTTAACTCATATTGTAAATTTGTAAATTGAATCCGGCGTAGTTCCCGACCAGATGAAAATCGCTAAAGTTGTACCCATTTATAAGTCCGGACCAAACAATCTATTCTCCAATTATCGACCTATATCGGTTTTGCCAATATTTTCTAAATTACTAGAAAGGATTGTGTGTAACCGCATTATGGATTTCATAAACAAAAATAAGGTTCTGTTCAATAACCAGTATATATGGCTTTAGAAAAAAACATTCGGCAGCTTTAGCACTTCTGCATCTGGTTGACAGTATAACTTCTTCTATTGATCAGAGGAAATTCACTATTGGTACTTTCATCGACCTTTCAAAGGCATTCGATATTGTAAATCACAAGATATTGCTCGAAAAATAGCAGCATTATCGTATCCGTGTTTTAGCACTGGATTGGATAAAAAATTATCTTAGTGATA